TAAATTGCTTAAATGTATCGGAACAAGGGAATATTGAAGATAAATGCTTTATTATGAAAAATAAATCACATTTAATATTCATAACTGGTGTCGGGTATCATATGGTCGGCCACGCCCGACTATACTTTCTTACTTGTTCAAGTTTGGATATGTTTTTTGAAAGTATTTTATATAGGAACCGTACTATTTATTAATTGATTAGAAACCCATGTCTATTCATGAGAAAAAGGCAACTTTGTTTTCAAAAATCCGTTAGAAATTGACAACGTTATTGATCTTTTTCTTAATACAAAATTGTTCATAAACTGATTTTCTGAAGGATGCTTTATATGGGGGATAGGGTTAAATATAGGCCGATCCTTGAAAAATTTGGTGTAATGATTTATGTTTATATTAAAGTTATTTATGCTGAATTTCATCGTGATATTAATATTAAGAGGACAATTATGGAATTCAAGTCATTTTCTGGAGGAGGGTTTGTATGGGGACTAGGGTCAAATAACACCGTATTGTCTAAAGAAACTCATTTATACCGAATTTTGTATTGTTTGGACCTTATTTAACCCTAGTGCCCATGTAAATCCTCCTTCAGAAAATGACTTGAATTCCATAATTGTTCTCTTAATTACATCAATATCACGATAAAATTCAGAATAAATAACTTTTATATAAATCTAAATATTTCCACCAAATTGTATAAGGATTGGCCCTTATTTATCCCTATCCCCCATATAAAGCATCTTTCGGAAAATCAGTTTTGGAACAATTTTGTATTAAGAAAAATATCAATAACGTCGTCAATTTCTAACGGATTTTTAAAAACAAAATTGAGTTTTTCTAATGAATAGACGTGGTTTTCTAATCAATTAATAAATAGTACGGTTCCTATATAAAATACTGTAAAAAAACATCTCCAAACTTGAAAACGGTGCAAAACTTAAATAAAAAAATATATTTGCTGATGAAATTCACACATATCTCTCCAGTTTGCTTAAACGTTATATATGTCATTATAAAGGCCTCAGCTTCTGCTTGCTAAATCCGTGGAGAAACTTACTGACTTATAAGTGCCTAAAGGTACGAAAAACCGGTTTTTTACCCATAACTAAGATTTTGGAGGTGTTTGGCAAATTTCAAAAACATATTCTTGTTCTACTCCCATTCACCTTTCAGAAAAATAGTATCACTTCCCAGGTATTTCAATTTTCGTTTATTTTGTCTCACTGTGTTATCCATATTGTGAAGATTAGAATATATTGTTTTAAGATTATTTCTTTTATTATTTATTTATTTAAATATATTAAATTATGAAAATTTTTTTAGAATAATATTTTTAACTTTTAGTGTGTGTGAAGGAGCATTAGGTCTTTCAATTTTAGTATCAATAATTCGTACTCATGGAAATGATTATTTTCAAGATTTAATAATTTACAATGTTAAAAATTATTATTAGAATTTTGTTTTTATTTCCGCTGTGTTTAATATATAATACTTATTGAGTGGTACAAAGTTTATTATTTTTATTAAGTTTTGTTTTTATTTTAATAAATATATATAGAAATTATTTTATATCAATTTCATATTTATTCGGATGTTATATAATTTCTTACGGATTAATTTTATTAAGAATATGAATTGTGTCTTTAATATTAATGGCTAGTGAATCTATTTATAAGTATAGAAATTATACTAATTTATTTTTATTAAATATTGTTTTATTATTAATTTTATTAGTATTAACTTTTAGTAGAATAATATTATTTATATTTTATTTATTTTTTGAAAGTAGATTAATTTCTACTTTGTTTTTAATTTTAGGATTAGGTTATCAACCTGAACTTTTGCAAGCGGGGGTATATTTATTATTTTATACTTTATTAGTTTCTTTACCAATATTAGTTGGTATTTTATATTTATATAAGGTTACTGGGACTTTAAATGTTTATTTATTAAATAATTATATATTTAATTATGAAATTCATTATTTTTCTTTAGTTATAGCTTTTTAAATAAAAATACCAATATTTTTAGTTCATTTGTGATTACCTAAGGCTCATGTAGAAGCTCCTGTTTTTGGTTCAATAATTTTAGCTGGGATTATATTGAAGTTAGGGGGTTATGGATTATTACAAGTATTTCCTTTTTTACAATTAATAGGATTAAAATTTAATTTTATTTGAATTTGAATTAGAATTAGATTAGTAAGAGGAGTATTAGACTAATTTGTTTACGTCAAACAGATTTAAAGGCTTTAATTGCTTATTCTTCAGTTGCTCATATAGAAATTGTATTAGCTGGATTAATAACTTTAACTTATATAGGAATTTGTGGTTCTTATACTTTAATAATTGCTCATGGTTTGTGTTCTTCAGGATTATTTTGTTTAGCTAATATTTCTTATGAACGAACAGGAAGAAGAAGATTATTAATTAAGAGGGGGATATTAAATTTTGTACCTTCTATAGCATTATGATGATTTTTATTAAGATCGGCTAATATAGCTGCTCCACCTACTTTAAATTTATTAGGAGAAATTTCTTTAATTAATAGAATTGTTATATACATATGTACTAGGGTGATCGACTCAATTTTTCAACCGGTTTTAAAACCGGTTTTTTCTGCTTTACCAGTGTCGGTTTTTTCTTAATGTTGATTTTTCGAATATCGAATAACCCGGTTTTTTCACTTTTTAAAACCCGGTTTCGAATACTTTTATTTGCTTTGTATTCAAAGATTATTTAAATGAAATTTTTAGAGTATATTTTTCTACAGCTCTTTTCGTTAAACTTTTTTGATTTTCCTAATTAATTAAAAATTATTTGTAAAATGGATAACTGTTTGATAAAATTTAGCAATCTTAAGATTATATTCCAATTACAATAATTAATTTACGGCTGAAATTTTATGGAAGTGTTGGAATGCCTATGCAAATTTCCTAAACAGGGCTTTTAAAATAAGCTAGGATTACATGTTTAACAGAAGTGTCCCACTTTTTTCCTAATTTTTTTATATTAAAGAAATAATATAAATCAGACGACTAGATCTAAAGTTATAATCTTTTAAACTGTTAAAAATCATTTCGGGCCATGTTTTATTAATCAAATTTAAACATAAACATTAAGTTTTTCAAATTAAAATATATTTTTTTTAATTGTAATGAAAAACCGGTTAACCGGTTTTTTCTGAATTTGCAAAATATCAACCGGTTTTTTTTAAATGTCAACTATTCGAACTATTCGAAAATCGGTTTTTGGAAAATGTCGAATAATCGATCACCCTAATATGTACATTTTTTATGATTATGTTTAAATAGTTTAATAAAAATATTGATTTGTGGTGTCAATGATAAGAGATTTTCTTTTTAAACCGTGAAATATATATCAATTTGTACAATTAGTTTTGTAAAATTATTTTTTATACCCTACACCACTTTAGTGGGGAGGGTATATTGGATTTGTGCTGATGTTTGTAACATACAAAAATAGTCCTAGACCCACCTTAAAGTATACCAATCGGCTTAGAATCGTTTTCTGAGTCGATTAAGCTATGTCCGTCCGTCCGTCTGGCTGGCTGGCTGTCCATGTAAACCTTGTGCGCAAGGTACAGGTCGCAATTTTCAAGATAATTGGATGAAATTTGGCACGCACGTTTGATTTGGCCCAAGGACGAAGCCTATTGAAAATGGTTAAAATCGGTCCATTATTTCACCTAGCCCCCATAGAACAGAACCCCCCGAAAAGGGCTTCTGAGCTCATAATTATGCTAAATATACAGATATATCGATAAAATACGGCACAACTAATTTTTATTGAAGTCTTGATGACCCTGCCAAATTTCATAAAGATCGGGCCCCATTTGACCCTAGCTCCCATATAAAGTCCCCTTCAGAAAATTACTTTAATGTCCCAAATTAACTTATAAACACAAATATCGCGATGAAATTCAGCACAATAAAATATTATGTAAATATAAATATATTGAAAAAATTTTACCGGGCTTGGTCCATATTTGCCCCTAGCCCCCATATAAAGCCTCTTTCAGAAAATTAGTTTTTCATCCATAAATTGCTTAAATGTATAAAAATAAATCACATTTAATATTCATAACTGGTGTAGGGTATCATATGGTCGGCCACGCCCGACTATACTTTCTTACTTGTTTTAGATTGTCTTCTTTTTTATAGGACTTATTTTTATTATAAATGATTATAGAATTTTTATTTTTATATGTTTCGATGAATTCAATAAATATTGTTATAACTTTATTATTTGATTGAATAAGTTTAATTTTTATGTATTTCGTTTTAATAATAATTCTTCATTAATTATTTTTTATAGTAAGGAATATATAGAAAGTGATTATAAAATTAATCGATTTATTATATTAGTATTAATATTTGTTACTTATATAATATTATTAATTATTAGTCCTAATTTAATTAGTATTTTATTAGGATTAGATGGTTTAGGATTAGTTTCATATTGTTTAGTAATTTATTTCCAAAATGTTAATTCTTACAATGCTGGTATATTAACAGATTGGTTAATTGGTGATGTTGCTCTTTTATTAGCTATTGCTTGAATATTAAATTATGGAAGTTGAAATTAAATTTTTTTAATTTATGGTGGTAAGTTTTCATATTTTTATAAAAAAGTACATTAAATAACATGATAAATTTATAGATATGTGACCATGAGTATAAAATTTTAGCAATCAATTCCAAATATGGTGGAGCAGCACACGATTCGTTCGTTTGGAAACATTCGGAGGAGAGACGATATTTGGAAGAGTTATTTAACAACAACAGAACGAACAATTTTTGGCTTCTATGTAAAATAAATCGCTACTTTTACTGCACTACTTTTAAATTAAAATTTTTTATAAATTGCAGGCGACTCAGGGTATCCTCTTGAGCCAATTTATATGTTAATATAAAAAATATATATATTATAAATATATATATTTTTTATATTAACATATAAATTGAATTCATTGCAAATAAAATTTAATTATAAAAAAGTTACAGAAAAAGAACTAAAATTATTTGTACTTTCTTGTATAAACTATTAAACTTTTTAATACATATATTCTTGAAATTCTCACTGTTTCTTTTTTAGCAATTCAAGTTTAATAGTTTTAATTTGGATATCAAGGTTTTTTATTGCCATGTTAGCAGAGTGCTCTTCCTCTTTTATTTTGAGCGATTTTTCTTTTAGTTTTATAAGGTGATCTAGTTTTGAACTTAAATCAAAATGGTATTTTTCAGCGTTAGAAAGATTTGAAATTAAGAGATTCAATTTCGTTTCAGACTTAGAATTTCCTTTCTTTATTCTTGATGGCTGATTTTCTTTATCTTCCGATTCCTGAGAATATTCACTCTTTTCCACACATTTCTCATCGTCAACTTCTATACTGTCATCATTTTCTAATAAAGCTCTTAAACTTTGTTCCTCATTTGGAATTGTCTCACTGGCGCATTTTGGTGTACCGAAGGATTTAATAGTAGACACGCCTTCAACAGCAGCCTCAATTCCTGCAGATTGAACAATTTGTTCCTCTGCTGGTGATAATAATAATTTCTCGTACGGTCCTCCACCTGTTTTTTTCTTAGACAGCTTGTTGAAGGATAGTTTCTTTTTTGCGTTATGTTTTTGGTCTGCAAACACCTAAAAATTAAGAATAAATTTTATTTTGCAATGATACTATAAAAAGGTCCGCAAGTTCATCCCATAACCTATTTAAAAGAGCCTTACCTTGCCCAGAATTTTGAATTATATTTTTGGCCAAGTTGGGATGGTTCATCATAAATTCGGCCATTAGTTCCTTCTGTTTGCCATTAATTTTGTTTATATTTGTCCTAAAAACAAATTTATTTTGAGTTGCTAAAAATATGTATACTTACATTTTAAATTCTTAAAGCAAACAATAAATGTGATAATTATTCACAAAAATTTTTTTAATAAATAAATTATTGTGTTTACGACAGCTGCTAACCTATATAATGACATTTCAAGAGAAGGCATTCGAAAGATTACTCGTTATCGAATGCCGAAATTTAAAATTTCGATACAAGTTATTCGATAAAGAATGCGGCGGTCTCAAATAATAAAATTTCGACTAAAGTCGTTCGATCACGAGACCGACGTTATGGCCCCTGATTTTTCAATATTTCCAACTAACAATTTATTAATAGATCCAATCATGTACTCAGAGTTTTTATTACTTTCAGAACAATTATTTTCAGTTTCATTAACTTCAATAATATTTACTTTTCTATTTCTATCGGATTAAAATTCGTTCCCATTTTTCTTTTTACAAACATTTGCAAAATGTCCACGTAGAACACACTTGCTACAATTTTTTTCTTTGCGGGACAATTATTTCTACTATGGGATTTATATCCACAATAACTACATATATTATCACAACTTAAATTATAGTTACCACTGCTGCTGGATTTTTGATACATTGAACTTCGCTGTTGACCACCGTAATTTCGTTGTTTAGCTTCTCTTTAAACGTTGTAAACATGTTTATCGTCTGTGATAATTTTTATTTGTTTTATCTGGATATCTGCTTGACGTGCCGTATCCATTGCAATCTTTAAGGTTAAGTCAGACTTCATTTGCATTTGTTCACTGACTTTAGCGTTAAGCATGCCAACCACAATTCTATCTCGGATCAAATCATCTTTAAGGTTTCCATAATCGCAGTTCTCCGCCAAAGAAGGCAGGTCTGTTATGAAACTGTCAATCGATTCTCCTTGCTTTTGCGCACGTGAGTTGAACTTGAATCGTTCTAAGATAAGGTTTTTGCTTGGGGTTGAAATAGTTGTTAAAATGATTTAAGGCACTTGCCAGAGTTGTTGGTGAATGGCCAAACTTCTTCACTTTTTTCACCCATTATGTAGAACAGCAAATCAATTTGTTCCTGTGGATGCTTGTAGATTGTCCAGAAACACTCATGTAACGCTCAAATCTTTTACGCCACTTAGTCCAACTTTCTGGTTGTAAAAAATTAAAAGGCTCAGAAGGAGCGACATTTGCGACAAAAACCTTTTAATTTTTGTCTTCTGTTGGGACATTAATTACTTTTTTGCTTTGAGAAAAAAAACACTTTTTTTAGCAAAAATTCGGTTTTACCGCTGCCACCATGTGTAATTTGCCAAGAGAGCTAACCAACATATTAAAGACACTTGTCACGTTTCTTAGAATTACGGCTGTATTTATAAAAACTTATTTTAGGTTTATTAAACAATTTTAGGCAAAATTCAGGAAAATCGTATTTATAAACGTGAAATAGCTTAAAACACCTTCAATAAACCATTGACAATTAGGAGAATTTTATTGTAGGCTCGACCCTTCTTTAAGCCAACAATAAGTTGTTTTTTTTAACAATTTTTTTCTCAGATAAAGATTTTTCCGGTAATTTTAGGTTGATTGCGAAAACTAATTATGGTTTCTTTTAAAATAAAATCTAAAAATTCTAATTTTAACGTTTACAAATTTGTAAATAAAATCCCAGAAAATTTTTAAACGATTATATTTTGAGGAAAAAACTCAAATCTAGGCATTATTGGATTAATGCATAAATATTTGACAATATTCCAATTGTCCAGCACTATTTTTAGGCAATTTGGAAATGCCCGTCTGTCAACCAAATGATGGACAAAATCATTTGATTTGACTTTTTCAAAGTTTGTTGGTTAAATATAATGCCATAAAGTAATTAACCATGTAAATTATATTGATTAGTGTTACACTAATGCAAAATATATTCGCCGGCATTAAAATTAGTCAAATATCAAAGAAATTTATCAATATTTGCAAAAATTTATCAAAAATTACAAGAAAAATAAGTAAAAATAAGAAAATGTGGCATAGTGATGTATATTTTGTCGCAAAATATCCGTTATTCGGATACTTTTAATAATAATTAGAAATTATATGTTATATTTATACATCTGAACTAAATAGATATTTATTAAAGCCATATATATATTTATTTTTCTTAAAAGTTTGTTTTTATTGTCAAAAATCTATTATAAACAAAACTATGAAATTAAGAAAACCGAATCAACGAATATTTTATCGTAATTGTACGCAACACTAACACATAAAATGACAGCCATATTGTACAGTGCTGCCAACTTAAACATAAATCAGCACAATAGTTAATATACGTTTATTATTTGTTTATGAATATCACAATTTTATTAATGGTTTTTAAGGCTAAAGTGTGCTTTAACTATTGAGTGCATTAAAAGCAAAATAAGATTTTTTTATAAATACAAGCGTTAATCTTTATTACAACATCACGTGTCGAGATCCAGGTTAAGAAGAATGTAAAAAATGATATTTATCTTCAATTATCGATAATGACGTTTTCTTATTAAATTGCACATAGATGTCGCGGGAGTGTATTATTTACATTAGATGTTTTCGTATATTTTGCATCTTACACTACAGTAGGAATACCAATTTTCGATAGTCGCGTAACTGAATGCGGAAACGTAATCGGAATGCAAAATAGGCGTGAATATAACAACAACGCAGAGATTGTTCTTGATTGTATGTGAGTACGTTATTGTAGCTTGTTAACGATTGATAACAAAAACAGCGTTTAGCATGTTTTTGTTGTTCTTTTTTATCACAATACATTACGACGAACTGCGACTGACAGTTACGCAACGTAAAAAAGTGATGTTTTAATAATATAAAAAATATTCAATATAAAATACAATATATAATATAATATCTATATCTATGTATATATATATAAATGAATGTGTGTTTGTTTGTATGTTTGAAAGTTATAGACTACTAAACGGCTGAACCGATCTTGAAATTTTCACAGCGTATTCCTGCATGTCTGGAATAGGTAATAGGCTACTTTTTATTTCGAAATTTCAAGTGGGCGATGAGCCACGCCCACATTAAGAAAATATAAAATCCGTATATTTGAGATAATATAACAGTTAGAGTCCTCAAATTTTGTCGGAGCCACTTTAGTGTCAATATGAACATTTAGGACAAAAAGTAGGCGGACTAGCATTAGGGGGCGTGGTACCTCCCATATAAATTAAATACAAAAATTCGTTTATCTGGGAAACTAATAGAACTAAATTCTTAAAATTTAGCACGAAGAACTTTAACATCCATGTAAACATTTTGAGTAATAAATCCATGAGGGGAGCGGCACCTCCCATATTAATTAAAAACAAAAATTCGTTTATCAGGGAAACTAATAGAACTAAATTCTTAAAACTTTGCACGAAGAACTTTAATATTCATCTGAAAATTTGTAAGGATAAAAGAGCGGACCTTCATCTAGGGGGCTTAGAGCCCCCATATGAATAAAATAGAAAAATTCGTATATCTGAGAAAATATTAGAGCTAGAATCTTTAAATTTTACTTAAAGAACTTTATATATATATATATATATATATATATATATATATATATAGAAAACTATAACAGCTAGAGTCCCCAATTTTGGTGCCTCTCACGTGAAGTAATTACAAAAAATTGTATATTCTTATCTATATATAAAACTTAATGTGTTTTTGTTTGTATGTTTGAACGTTAGAGTCCTCAAATTTTGTCGGAGGAATTTTAGTGTCAATATAATTATTTAGGACAAAAAGTAGGCGGACTATCATTAGGGGGCGTGGCACCTCCCATATAAATTAAATACAAAAATACGTTTATCTTGGAAACTTTTACAGTTATAATTTTCAAATTTTGCACGAAAAAATTTAACCTCCATCTAAACATTTTGGGTAATAAATTGGTGAACTATCCATGAGGGAGCGGCACCTCCTATATTAATTAAAGACAAAAATTCGTTTATATGGAAAACTAATGGAACTAACTTCTTCAAATTTTGCTCAAAGAACTTAAATATTCATCTGAACATTTTTGAGGAAAAAAAAGCGGACTTTCATCTGGGGGGTCTTGAAGCCCCCATATGAATCAAATAGAAAAATTTGTATATCTGAGAAACTATTAGAGCTAGAATCTTCAAATTTTACATGAAGAACTTTGACATTCATGTGAACATTTAGAGAATAACGGGCGGACTTTCAATGGGGCGCTTGGCACCACATATATGAATTAAATACAAATTTTTCATAGATATATAGAAATTGGCGAACTTGCAATAATTTGCTTGGCAGCTCTCATATGTAACATATTGTTAATCTGGAAAAGTATTGTAGTTAGAATTTTCAAAATCGATAAGTGGGTTTTTTATTTAATCAGTTTAAACGGCTAAACTGATTTTCTTGAAATTTTCACAATATCTTCCTGTATGTCTGGAAGGAGTTATAACTGCTTTTTATGTTGAAATTTCAAATGAGCGAGGTCCCACGTATAGAGTCCCCAAATTTTGTACAAGTAACTTTTGTTTAAATACAAATATTTTGGACAAAAATAGGGAGTTCAGCAAAAGCGGGCGTGGCACCTCCCATATGAAGTAAATACTAAAATCTAATTATTAAAATATGTATATCTAGAAAACTATAACAGCTAGAGTCCCCAATTTTAGTGCCTCTCACGTGAAGTAATTACAAAAAATTATATATTCTTATCTATATATATAAAAATGAATGTATGTTTGTATGTTTGAACGTTAAAGTCCTCAAATTTTATCGAAGGAACTTTAGTGTCAATATAATTATTTAGGACAAAAAGTAGGCGGACTATAATTAGGGGGCGTGACACCTCCCATATAAATTAAATACAAAAATACGTTTATCTTGGAAACTATTACAGTTAGAATCTTCAAATTTTGCACGAAAAACTTTAACCTCCATCTAAACATTTTGGGTAATAAATTGGCGTACTACCCATGAGGGGAGCGGCACCACCCATATTAATTAAAGACAAAAATTCGTTTATCTGGAAAACTAATGGAACTAAATTCTTCAAATTTCGCACGAAGAACTTAAATATTCATCTGAACATTTTGGAGGAAAAAAAAAGCGGACTTTCATCTGGGGGGTCTTGAAGCCCCCACATGAATCAAATAGAAAAATTCGTATATCTGAGAAACTATTAGAGCTAGAATCTTCAAATTTTACATGGAGAACATTGAAATTCATGTGAACATTTAGAGCATAACGGGCGGACTTTCAATGGGTGGCTTGGCACAACATATATGACATATATGAAACTCTTATACAAAAATAAAGTGCAAAAGTGCTCATGCTACATTATTTTATTGAAAAATCTGTTAAATGATTATTGAATATGGAACTTTTTTCTAAATTCATTTAGTTTATATACAATGCTACAAAAATAACTATAAAACAAATTTATTCCACCTAAAATTTTTCTGTATAACATTTAAAATTAAAGTAAATTCACTTTTTTGTCGGACAAAATAAAGTGTAAATTTTATATATCATTATTTTAATTTTATGTATATCAAAATTTTTTATCTATTTTGGTTCTGATTTGAATATCTGGATCTACTCAAGTCATTTTTGTAATTATTTTACCATTATTATTCGCAATCGCTTTCACTT